TTGTCTTTTGCCGAAGCTCAGACTCTGGCACATGATCGGGAACGTTGGAAGCACTGTCTGACGCGTCTGCTTCCGCGACCCGAAAGGAGAAGCGGCGATGTAAGATGAAGATGAAGATGAAGAACATCAAACATGTGATAAAAATTTCATTTATGCGGTTAACATGTTTAGTGAGAATAAAATTTATGCTACACATTTAGCAGGAAATGAAATTCTCCAGGGATTAACTTCTGGATAATCATTATATAAAGCGGTATTATCATTAAACTAAGAGACTGGACGACAGGACAGATAATATTTGAATATGCCCTCCTAAGCCAGTACAATATCGGTGAAGGTCCCTCATGAACTCTGAAATGGTCGGATCGTTAACTAGACTTCGTTAAAAAATCCAGATTGGAGGATTGCGCCCACCGAAATGCCAGTTTCATCAAATTATTGCTAGAGCGCTCTGATTATGGCCTGTTCACTGGATTGCCAATCTGTGATGATCCAAGTAACAGGTCCGTTACTGATTTAAGGTTATGATCTGATGAAGTTAACAATGGGCTGGGCATTAACATATTGTGGTTTCTCTTGCATGTTATGTCAGCCCTGATATGTCAGCCCTCCTGCATGTTATGTAACAGTTGGCTTTCGTGCTTCACCATGGTTATTTATCTGTTAGTTAATTTGTTGATTTGTTTCCAAATTAATGCTGAGAATTTATGCTTCTGTCAAAGAAGCATTACTTATCTATGTCTACTAAATTAATATACATAGTTTCTAATGGTTTCGTGTTCTGTCCCACGGTTCAACGCAATAATTTTAAAATGATTATGTAATTTCCTTAACTGTCGAAGCGTTTAGACTCCGCATACAAACGGTATCCTCAGGTTTATATTACATAATTAAAACAGCGTTAGACACGGAAATGAGTGACAGTAACGTTTGTTCATTGCCTCTTCTAGACAATGTAGCCGATGACATTCTAGTTGTCACTATTGTTATACGAGCTAATTCATTCGCTACACAGTAGGGTTTAGCTATATATAGT